CCGTTCTTTAGCTCTCGAGTCAATTCCATCTTTACTAAAATTATAATATCCATAAAACCACCCTTTGCATCTCATGATGAGATGTTTCAAAATTAATCTTTTTCGCCTCGTACTCTCCTATCAAGTTCTTTGTTCAGCCCTAGCGTTCGTTTATTCTTCGCCCTAACTATTGCCGTCACATGTTGGTTCGAGGGATGTTCGATGTTCGTCAGAATTCTNACTATTGCCGTCACATGTTGGTTCGAGGGATGTTCGATGTTCGTCAGAATTCTTACTAATTCTATATCCCAGCATTAGGTAAGAAATTATAAGCCTCCTAACACCTTACGAGAACATTAAAAAAAAAAAAACACACACACGAAATAAAGGTAGACATACTTTTCTTTATACACACTAAATACTATTCATATTACTACTGCTTTATAAGGTTGATCACCGCTATACATTTAATTTATACGCAATTTCCTCTATACACGTATGTATGTATGTACGAGTAGGTGGATAGTGTAATTTGCTGCTTCACACCTACGTCTATTTCGGCATTGAACTGCACTTGCCCTTCGACTTTGTTTGCACATTTTCCTCGCATACTTTGTTCTTGCATTCCCTATGTACCTCTCTTTTTCCATTTGCTGGAACTAAATTCCTAACCTCACTGCTGCTGCTGCTGCTGCTACTTTTTCATGCTACTAATTTAGAGTTCTCGTTTCACGTGGCACTTAGTGTGCATCTTCTGGCTGATGGGGCTGAGGGTGTATTTGTGGAGGCTGCAGCGGCGGTTGCTGTTTGCCCCAGTGATAGTGGAATGGCGGCGGCACATGGTAGTGTGGCTGCTGCTGCGGCGGTGGTGGTGGTTGTAGTGGCACCTGCTGTTGGTAGTGTGCTTCCAGCTGCGCATAGTGGTGGTGTTGATGCTGCTGCTGCTGCTGCTGGTGATGCAGGTGGTGATGCTCCATGCTCAGTTGCTGCTGTTCGTGTTGGTGAGGCTGAGGCGTTGGCTGTTGCTCTAGCGTTAAATCTGCGTGCTGCTCTTGCATTGTCACGGCCGGCATTGCTGCTAACGTAGCTGTCGGCATCATGGTTGTGTACTACGCAACCGCTGCTGTTGAGTTGGCCGGTGGTGCTGCGGTCGCTGTGGGCACGCTTGCTGCTGCTGTCGCTGCGGTAGTTGGTGGTGGCGGTGGTGACGATTGTGTCGTCGCCCCAGCCATCATTGTTGCTGGAGGCGCGTTGTTTCTGTTGTCGACGGCGGCGCCATTTGCATTATTGTTGCTGGCATTGGTAAGTGGTGCTGCACTAATATGGGGCATTGTTGCACATATCACATTCTTACCACTGTTACCGTTGCTTGAGCTTAGCAGCGTCGGCTGCATGTGACCCGCCTCGCTGTTTGTCAGTGTTGATCCTACCGCAGCACCCAGCGCATTCGCACTGGCGTTCTCTATCGCGCTTTTAATGTGCATGTTGCTGTTGGTGTTGTTGTTGCCACTGCCTATGCTATTACTATTGCTGTTGCTGCTCACTGTGCCACAACTGTTACTGTTGGTGCTGCTATTGCTAACATCGTTAAGCAACGCCGCGGCGGGGGCCAAAGCATTGCTGCTGTTGCTGTTATCATCGACGGAGGCGCATGCGTTTTGCGACTTGCTCATTGCCGCATTCGCAGCTGCAGACAATGGCTGCTTGTGTATGGGCGTAGAGTCACTACTGCTGATTTCGCTCATATTGTGGCTACTCGCGCTAATGTTGCCATTAGCGTTGATACCGCCGGCCGCATCTGCTGCAGTCGCTGTTAAATCTTCTCGCTTAATATCACTGGTGAGCGTTCGAGTTGCATGTCCTGCCACCTCAGCATTCACAGCTTGGGGCTCAATTGATGTTGGTGCACCTGTCGATGGCGCTGAGGGTGCGGTTTCCACTTTGACTTGAGCTTNCTGTTAAATCTTCTCGCTTAATATCACTGGTGAGCGTTCGAGTTGCATGTGCTGCCACCTCAGTATTCACAGCTTGGGGCTCAATTGATGTTGGTGCACCTGTCGATGGCGCTGAGGGTGCGGTTTCCACTTTGACTTGAGCTCTCACGTCAGCACCTGGCGTGAAATGCCTATCTGCAGCAGAGTTTTTTTCCTCCTGCCTTTGTTGAAAACGATATTCCAGCGATGGTATCGACGACGGGCCGCCGACACCGGTGCCACGCGAAACTTGGAACAGTACACGCGATATAATCAGCGCAACCTGCTGGTCGAGAATGTTAGACATCACCAATCCAAGCAGACGCTGCTCTTGGTGCATGAACAGGGAACGGTTGTCCGGATGTTTGGCCAGATGCAGCAGGGTGCCGGCAGCACGTCGCAGCATGTCCAAACTTGTACCCATTGAGTCGGGATTTTCACGCAGGTAATTGATTCCATGCTGGTTGGCAACTCCCAATGCCGTTTGCTCGGCCTGTTCGATGAATGCCACAAGGTATGAGATGCAGGGCGACTGTAAGGCCACTGTACGTGCCATGGCACTGTCAGCTGCGGCCAGATAATGCAGCAAATTAACGGAAAACTCACGCAGTACCTGATCCTCGTTGCGGCAAAGGTGGCGCGTCAACACCGCACACAACTTTTCGAGGCGCGAATGCGGTGGTGTCGCTATCACGAGATCGACATTTGCGTCTGTCACACACAACTTACAGAGAGCCTCTAACGCCAGACGCTGTGGCGAAAGCGAAGTGTTTGGACCACAAGACGGGAAGGGATCTTGACCGTGTGCACTTGGACACACCGCCCAGTGCAGCAGACCGTCGATGAGAGGCCGCGCTATGAGCTCATCGTAACGTGACAATTCAAGATGGCCTGCAATGTTCGCCAACGCGACAAGCATATTTTCGCGTATGTGCACCAAGTAGTCCCACCACCATTCTCTTTCGCCTTGAAGTGAGCTGCATGAATCTGAGAAATCGGTGTCCTCTTCGCGATCATAGTTACGCGTTTTGGGTGTACGCTGTAAGTGCTCGTGGTTGAGCAGCAGGAGGCGGCCAAGTATGGCTAGGAATCGGCGCGACTTGGCCAAGAGTGTTTCATTGCCCGGCACGAACGTCAAATTGCGGAATATGTTCGATAGGCAGATACAGCGACGCGCTAGCGCATCCTGACACTCGCTAACTAGGTACAGACTGGCTTCGTCTCGAGTATAGCACTCTTCTTCGACCGTGGAGGCACGGCGCCGCTGCAACACTTGTGCTGCGTCGCGCACCGTTGACATGGGGTCGAAATTTTTCAGTACACCACTATTGCCGCCGCCAACTAGACGTTGTTGCGGCAGCAGTTCGATTTCCATATCCACCTCACGACAATCGCTGTCGGTGGCAACGACGGCGTTTTCTGTTGACACCGTGTCCGTTGGCTCCCTTTTAAGACTCGGTGGTGCAAATGCGTTTTCGTCCTCTTGTAATTTCGACTTTTTAGCGCCGCTGGCGTCAAAAGCGAACGCGGCCCCGACTTGACTGTGTTTGCTTGCGCCACTGCTGTTGTTGAAGAGTCGCCGCTTCTTGTTAAACGTGTGCTGTAGTTTGCTATCCTCAGCGCAGCCCTCTTCCGTCGGTTCATTTATCAAAATTTTGCTGCTGGCCTCACTGCCGTCTACAACACTCTGCACATCTTCGGCACTGACAGCGCCACTAGCTTTCCCACGCGACTTTGTCGCCTCTGCCCCTCCGCGATTTTTATCGCTACGGCTGCGTACGTAACGAGCGAAAGGAATGTTTATGATCTCCGACTTGAACACGTCGATTATACCGTCGTGCGCATTGCGGTCCGCAAAACCATATGTCCAACTCCAGGGTGTAGTTTCGTTCCCCGTTGCCTGCTCATAAATAGGCTCCACCTCTGAGTCCCAATCCTTTTGTCTATCCGATACAAATATATCATCCTCTGCTGATTGTAGACGTACTGGCAAACCCTTGCGTGACATCAACGTGTAGTTGGGCGTGTTAGAGAGCAACATAACACGCTCCTCGGGGTTTGGTAGCACACGTATTTGTCCCAAATCGATGCCTTCATCCTCGTCATCGTCATTGTCGGCCAATGGCATTTTCGATGACTTAAATTTTTCGTAATCGTTATTGTACTCGACGGTGTCGCTACCTCCAATGCAATGCCGTTTGCGGTTGTAGTTTTGTACGGAACGGATGTGCCGACTACCGCCACGTTGTTCCACGTCTGCGTCACTATCGTTAAACATCTCTGCTAGATTCTTTTGGAAATGTTCCAAAAGTAACGTCAACAGACCCGGCAAATGTGCCAATCCAAAGTACTGCACCGTTGTGTCATCGAAAAGTAGCACGTTCAGCACGTCTAATGCCCAGGTGCACTCAGTCAACAGACCGGAACGCATTGCCATGAAAATACGCCATGGATCTACGGGACAAACATCGGTTTTTGCAAGCCGCTTACGCCTATACAGCACAGGTGTGGTGGCTTCAACGCTGTCCGGCGGGAAAACTATTTCTTTTTTAACTAGCTGGGCGCCTGGGGGAGTTGGAAATGGTTGCTGTGGCTGTGCTTGTGGCGGTTGTTGTTGCGTTGTCACCTGTGGCAAGCCAGGTGTGCCCAGTTGCGGTACAGCGCTTACTACGGAAACCGGTGGCTTGGGTGCACCGGCAACTGGCGCGCCCATGACTGGTGGCATAACACTGACAGTGCTGGGTGGAGCCGCAACAGATGGTGGCGGGCCGCAAGCTGGCGCAACTGTGCCACTGACCTGTGGTGGCGGTGGCATCGCAAATGGTGGTTTTGTCATGGGTTGATTGGACGTTGGTCCAACGGTTGGTTGCTGCGCGGGTGGCGGCGGCATGCCGGGTCGCTGCTGTGGCGGTTGCTGTTGACTACCGCCAGGCGGCCGTAACGTTGATCCGGGTGCACCTGGTTGTGGTGGTGGCTGCTGAGCGTTGCCGGCCATTTGCGCCCACTGTGGCGGCGGCTGTGGTTGTTGCTGCTGACTTTGTTGCTGATATGGCGGCTGTTGTTGTGGTGGCGGTGGAGGTTGTTGGGGCGCATAACGATGCTGCTCCCATTGCACGGCGGTCGATGCTTGCTGGTTTGGTGGTCCAAGTGGACCAGTGCCTGGTGGTGCGGCTGTACGAGGTGGTGCGCCGCCCCAACCTTGGGGTGATGGTGCAGAAGGATACTGTCCACGGTACTGATTTGAACCACTCCAACCACCTGTATAAATTGGGAAGCACAATTAATTTCGAACACATTTTGTATGTATGTAGGTTGCAAAGTGCAAAACTCGATGCCTTCGAATACATACCATACATTTGAGGTCTTGTATTATACGCTGGATAGGGCTGAGAGTCTTTCACAAAGTCCGGATGCCGTCGAGGTTGAGGAGTCTGTTAAAAATATATGTTAAAAATAACTATTCAATAGTTCAAAAGCTTGTAACGCACCTGATCGGGCGGTCTGTAATAGTCCTGTGTTGGTGCACTGGGCGGATAGCCACCGCCTGGAGCTGCCGGGCCAACGGTTGGTGGACCCGCAGCGCCGGCCACAGCCGAGCCCGGTGGTGTAGGTGTTTGAGAGCTACCCGGCGGCGGTTGACTGTACGAACGACTGCCATAAGGACCGTATTGATTTGCACCAGGTGGAGGACTGTATGGGAATTGAAAAGATTATTAATTTTACGATTCGACTATAAAATCCAGCAAAGGCTTGTTAGCCAATTTATATGCTGGGCAATGAGTTAGAAAACAATACTTTTGTAAAAATTGTTCAGATAAGTAGTTAACAACATATGGACTACTATGTATCAATGTATGGAGAAGTAGAGAAAATAGCACTCACGCTTCCCCCTCGGGCCCATAAGAAGGGTACATATTTCGATTTTGTGGCGGAAACTGAGGTCCTTGACTTTGGCCGAACTGGCCGGGTGGCCCAGTCGCATTGTATTGATCGCTCGAACCATATTGACCATAGGCTCCCGGCTGTCCTGGATATGGAGAGCCTGTGAACAAATGAAAATATATATATATGAAAATAGTTAGTGACAGATCAAATTTCTTAATGATGTATAAAATTAAACGATAATTGGACATACTACATATTATAGAGAGGAAGAATATAGAAATAGAAGTAAATCGTGTGGCAGAAAATGTCAGACCAATTTAGGAGTGTCTAATCAAAAGATGATATGGTATTTTTACAAGACTTTTATAATTTAAAAAACATGTTTAATATTAGGGCAACTCATCGCAACGCGTCAAAATGCCTCGTAACAATGTAAACCTCGCGTAAACTTAATTAATTTTGTATGAAAAATTGGGTTATGTACGAGGTTTACGCGGTTACGAGGCAATTACGCGCTTCCATGAATACCCATATTAATTTTTAAACAACTTCCTCTTACTCTTTCTGTAAAATAAAAGTTTATTGGAAATATCATCTCTGGATAAGGCGTTCCCCCAATTCAAATTATGTTTGCAATGAAATTGCGTCTATGCTAGTCCCAAATTCTCACATCGACAATGAAAAAATTAACATGGTTCACCATTAACAGGTCTATTCCGCTCTGGTATTTAACAAACATTTTGTAGCCGATTCATAAAGTTCCGGTAATTTTGTAAANGCAAAGGCTTGTTAGCCAATTTATATGCTGGGCAATGAGTTAGAAAACAATACTTTTGTAAAAATTGTTCAGATAAGTAGTTAACAACATATGGACTACTATGTATCAATGTATGGAGAAGTAGAGAAAATAGCACTCACGCTTCCCCCTCGGGCCCATAAGAAGGGTACATATTTCGATTTTGTGGCGGAAACTGAGGTCCTTGACTTTGGCCGAACTGGCCGGGTGGCCCAGTCGCATTGTATTGATCGCTCGAACCATACTGACCATAGGCTCCCGGCTGTCCTGGATATGGAGAGCCTGTGAACAAATGAAAATNCCGAACTGGCCGGGTGGCCCAGTCGCATTGTATTGATCGCTCGAACCATATTGACCATAGGCTCCCGGCTGTCCTGGATATGGAGAGCCTGTGAACAAATGAAAATATATATATATATGAAAATAGTTAGTGACAGATCAAATTTCTTAATGATGTATAAAATTAAACGATAATTGGACATACTACATATTATAGAGAGGAAGAATATAGAAATAGAAGTAAATCGTGTGGCAGAAAATGTCAGACCAATTTAGGAGTGTCTAATCAAAAGATGATATGGTATTTTTACAAGACTTTTATAATTTAAAAAACATGTTTAATATTAGGGCAACTCATCACAACGCGTCAAAATGCCTCGTAACAATGTAAACCTCGCGTAAACTTAATTAATTTTGTATGAAAAATTGGGTTATGTACGAGATTTACGCGGTTACGAGGCAATTACGCGCTTCCATGAATACCCATATTAATTTTTAAACAACTTCCTCTTACTCTTTCTGTAAAATAAAAGTATATTGGAAATATCATCTCTGGATAAGGCGTTCCCCCAATTCAAATTATGTTTGCAATGAAATTGCGTCTATGCAAGTCCCAAATTCTCACATCGACAATGAAAAAATGAACATGGTTCACCATTAACAGGTCTATTCCGCTCTGGTATTTAACAAACATTTTGTAGCCGATTCATAAAGTTCCGGTAATTTTGTAACTCCTTTCGCATTCTGTGTACTCTTGTGACCGGTAAATATTGTCACCATCTTCACTTATAAGCTGACCATAAAATATACAATACCAGAATTACTACAAAAATCGATAGCTGAATTGCTGAATATATTGACAGCATAGCATTACCAACGGACCTAAGTTTGCAGTTAGTTACAATTGGTAACAATTTTTGTTAATGTTACAAAACAATGGCAACGTGCAGAAAAGACCGGTAAAAGTGAAAAAATATAAATTAGTTGAAGTATTTTTATTATGAAAAGAGAACCTGTGGTGGCATGTTCAATAAAATGGGAATAAAAAATTACAAATAGTTTGTTGTACAATAACTTTCATCAAAGTTTGCTAATCAAAAGATAAACAAAAAAAAAA